GGCCGACCCCATGGCTCACTCGGGGGAGTGTGGCGCTGGGAGCACAGTGGCGCTCCCACTGTGGGTTCGGATCCTATATAGGGATGGCCGGTGCACTCACTGGCTAAACGTGGTGCGGGCGACACCAAGCCAAGGGTTGCGATCCCCTTACCGGTCACGAAAAATGACAAAAGAAGCCAAAAAAAAAAACCTCTCTGCTTTTGTGCAAGTTTTCAAATGTTCATGATAAAAAGTTAAGTGGTAATTTTAAAAGCAAGTCTAAAAAGCTACATCATAACAATACTTTTCTAGATGATTCCCACACAAAAATGAAGCTGGCTTTAATGCCTACCACTAGATTTCTGTGACTCAAAAATATCATCAGTTGGAAAATCCACCATTAATTTAATAATAGTTGTTCTGAGGAAAATAAATATGCAACATTACATACACACTGATTATAAACTATATCCCGATTTCAGAACTGTTGAAATGTGTCATATGTGCCTCAGAATTAAGGTAATCTGGTAATTTTTTTTTTGTAAATCGCTAATAGGAATTGTGGTTACTAAAAAGCCAAGTGGGAAAACAATGGTGTTCAAAAATGATGTCCATTATTTATTTTTTCATCATTTATTTTAACCCATTAAACTGGAATTTGTGTTACTCGAGTCTCTCTCAAACCTAAGAGGAAGTGCCTGCTGAACAGGCTTACGAACGCAGATAATTGTCGGTTTCCACTGCCTATACATTATCAGCCTTGTTTTATTATTGTATGTTCATGAGAGTAAAAAAGAACTGTGAAGACTATAAATGCCCAACTGCTACGGACCTTGAAACGAGTTAGAATGATTTTGAATCTCTGAGAATCAGCAACATTTCTGGACCATCTTGGAAAGAGGCACCATGGTAGAGGCATGAGGCCACCTCCGGGCTGAGCTGGTATGTTTCGGAGGAGAAAAGCCACATCCCGGACATAGGGCTAGGGAGGTGTGACATGTGCCCAGTGGTTTTCTTTTTACCGTGCAGCTCGGGAGCGTCTGCACCTGCAGCTGGACCTGCCTTGCTCTGGCAGGTTCTAGCTTGGGGGTGTGAGAGGCCAGGCTGCAAAGTGAAGCTGGCAAAGAAGAAAGCCACCAGGTCTGCAAACACAAAGTGGCCCCAACCCCAGCGACGGTGGTGACTTACTGTCTTCCGGGAGGCTGTTTTCCCGCTCCTCTCTCTCCATCTGCTGGCACCAGCCCTCCATGCGCTCTCGCTCTGCCTGGAGAAGCTTCAGGAACCAGTGACCGTCCCGGTGGCACACCGACCTCTGCACAGCCTCCATAGGGTCTTCAGTGATAGAGTCAATCCAGGGGTCCGGGGGAGGCAGAATAGAGGGGTCAAAATCTGTGTCAAAGTCGTCGTCAGCTGCACAGGCGTGGTAATGGTTTCCTGAACCCTGAATGCTGACTGTGGAGGTGCTGGCGTCCCGGGAGAACTGTCTGGCTATTGGGCCAGGACACGAATTGTCCTCCATAGATTCCAGAGAATTTTCCAGATTGTCGTGGAAGTCCAGGTCAGCCTGTACCGCTGTTGTCACGCTGTTGGACCGAGTGAACCTGCGGAAGCTTGGGAGAATAGAAAAAGGGGATTTAGTTCAACGACCTTCCTTAAAGCAAAACTACATTCTGCCTTTCTTGATGGGTGTGGCAGCAGGGGTCTCATCTTCTGTGTGTGGGGTGGCTGGGGGTAGACCCCTGATGCAAGCATATTAATTGCCATCACTCTAAAGTAAAGGACACAAGGGCTGGCCAGTTAGTGAGTGAGTTAGAGCACAGCCTTGTAACACCAAGGTCAAGGGTTGGGATCCCCATACCGGCCAGCTGCCAAAAAAATAAAAATAAAAAATAAAATAAAGAACAATCTCTCTCTTTGTTCAATATGGAATATTAAAATATATCTGAAGAAATTTTACAAATGGGACAAAGTGTAGCGCTATCAAGGCCAGTATAATGCCCAATGTCCAACTTCCTCCCCAAATTTGGGGTGGCCTATATCCTGAAATTCAGGTTGGTGATGGGTAAGGAAATAATTCAGTTTTATCTTGGTCTGTGTCATTTGCTAGAAATGGGGGAAAGGACACAACCCAACCTAGACCAAGACTATCATGAATCCTGCAAAGCCACATTTTTCCAGGGGCAGCTCTTACCAAGTAAGACTACCCAAAAGCAGACTGAAGTTTCACTAAAATTAAAACTCCTTTCCTCGTAAGGGTTCGTCTGTCTGTTAGTGACATAGATCATCATTATTACTTGGTACAAAGCCTTTGGGGCAAAATTTGGCTTAGAGTTCTTCATTACTGCCCTCCCCGTGCCTTTAATTTTCCTTCCCACCGTTTTATCACCGAGGTGCTAAAAGACAACTTGTTAACAGATTCAGTCTGAGCATCTTATGT